TAGTGGAGAATGTTTGTGCACCTCCTATTAAATACCAAAGTGTTAGTTGCTGATTTTTTTTTAGCATAAGAATAGTTTTCAACAATTTTGAAACAAGTAAAAAACCTCAAAATATAACACAACTGTTTCTGAAACTGTTCCTGTATGTACCATATTTGGATATGTCCATAATCTGATCTCTGGCAAATGTATTTTATGGTAATTACTTAGCTACAATATTAAAAAGAACAACATTATTTATATACACATTTCGTGTCCCAATGCCAATGTCTGGCCTTTGCTGTGGATGACCTCACTCAACAACAATTGGCTTGAAAATATTTAGTACAGATACCAAAAATCAGATCTGAAAAAGGTATAGCCAGGGTATTTTTCTGCATGCTGAAGGTAATTCATCTGCTTACCTATATTTATATATATATAGGCCTTTTAAAGAAGGTTTCTGCCTGCATGTTTGTAAATGGTGTTTTTGTATCTTGTTTCACATTCATCCACTTATCAAAAAAGTTTGAAGTCCTTTGTGCTGAATTTTTTAAAACTGTCATTAGGGTCTGTCAACACAGAATTTATAGTTTATCTCAGCCCAAGCAGTTGTACGCGCAAATAGTTCCTCCTCCTGCCTGGAGTGCTATTGGATACATTGCTTTTCGTATTCCACCTTAGCCAGTAAGTCTATAGGGAACAAAGAACAAATATATTACCTATCACAGGTGACAGGGATGCTAAGCAGCTAGCCTCCAATTAGGTTATTGTCTAAAGGAACAGAATAAAGAGCAGATGCAGCTATGCAGAGGCAGCCAGTATTTAGGGACCCATCTTCTTTGCAGTGTTTGCACAGATTTTATGTTTTACTAGGAATTATAGTGCCCAGTACATGCTTTAGCTAGTATTCTCAACTGGAATCTCCAGCAGTTACAAAATAAAATCACCAATTACAAGAGGCCTGAGATTTCTGCATATTTAACTCATCCACCCTTTAGCAGCCACAGCTTGTGTACACTCCATACTTCCATAATCCTGCACACAGGAATCACAAAAAGGCTTCGAAGTCTATACCAACAGTAAAATAGACAAACGCAAACTCCTTGTTTTTAACAGCGTTATCTAGTTTGTTAAAATATTTTTTCCTTATGTCACTGATTAAAACAACAAAAAGCGTGAAGCATGCCATTGTGACAAGAAGTCAAATTCAAAAAGTTTTTCACAGATTAGTTTGTCTACTCCAGGATGAGAACACAAACTTGCCTTCCATGAAACATTTAAATATTCCCCCCTTTGAAAAGGGCTGTCCTTCGTCTCCATCAAATAATATAACTACAAGTTGCAAAAATGAAAAGTAGTAGAAAAATTCATTTCTAAATGAGAACAAATTCATAAGAATAGACAGAAAACAAATTATGCTGAATGTGGCAATGCCTTGTAATAATTTAGCACATAGCTTCTCAAATCAAAATCTAAAAATTCTCTCACTCCCATTATGGATAGCCTCTACACATTATCTTAGCAGAATAAAGAGCAAGTATTCAGACAGAAAACTCCTTTTAGTCTTGTAAGTATTAGGAGTTCAATTTGTTAGAATTGTCCTTATTTAGCCATATAATACATTGGAAATGTATTAATTTACAGTCTCCAAACTGGCACAAACCCTACTAATTTCCCCTTTAAAATGCGGATCATGGAAAAAAGTAATCATGATTATTTCCCAGAACAGTATCTGCCCAGAATTAATTTAATACTGCAATTTTACAAGAACAAACAGATGTCAGAAACCTGTGACACAGATTAATTTGCAATTTAGGCCAACATGTTATCATTAACTTTCCAAGTTAACTCCTCTGCTCAACTTGTAAAAAAAAAAAACCAAAACCCAAATTATCCAGAATTTTGGACAAGTTCAGTTTAATTTTTTTTATTTCATTTCTGAAGATTCCCTATAGCTCATAATTGCACATCAATATAACTGATAATAACTTATATATTTTTAAACTGAGGAATTTAATCTTAATACGTAAACAGTTGAAGATGTAGCTAAAGCATGTTATAAAAAAAAGCATTTTCAAGTACCATCCAAAATCCAAGTGTTGAATTAATACTCAAGAAATTGTGGAAGCAGACATGAGCACTACAGCTTCAGGCTTCTCTCAGAGAATTTTCTGTCAGATTGTTTTGATTCTTTGATTTCTTTGAAATAACAATTAATCCAAATATCATTTACTATTAAACATGCATTCTACACAATAAAAAAAAGAGATGACAGAGAACTGAAGCAACAGCAGTTTAGGAAAGCACAGCTGACAGCTCACTGGATTTTGCATTTAATCCATTGCAAAATATTTATGACAGTTTTGAAAGGGTGGTGGGGTTAGGTTTTTAGTGTGGTGGGGTTGGTTTTTGGAGACACATGGAAAAAATATCTATTCCTTAAAATTCACAGCACTAGTAACAACAACAAACTAAACAACTAGCCCTGGAGAGACAGTTGCACCCAACTGTGGCAAGCAGTAGAACATTTATAGAATTTTAAATATTTCTTTTAATAATTGATGTAGTCATTTTGAATCTTTCTGCATTGGATATAACATGTGAGTAGATTGCATTAACACTGCTTAAACATTTCAACTTGTCAGTATGGCCAAGTCGATTTCTGAAATATTTGCAGTATTTTCCCATCGAAACAGTAATAAAGGTAGAATAAATATATGCCACTGCTTTATAATCACTGAACATTAATGAATATTTTATGTCTTTTTAAATCTCCCTGTTTAATTTAAAAGGGTGAAATTAAGTCTCCTCCCTGCAATATGCCAATTATCTGTAAATCAAACAATAACTTGGCCATTATACTCCTTTTTGTTAATATACCAGAAGCTAATTTGAAAACACTGAACAGCATTTTTAGGTAATAATTGAATAGTCCTTCCTGCCCTCTTGTGGTTGGCAACTGCAACTTGCATGGAGCTTTTCCACAATTACAAAAGTATACCAGAAGGAAAGTAAACTATTAATTTGTTAAAGTGTGAACAAGAAAATGGGGGGGGGGGGGGGAGGAGAAGTCGCACAGTCCCCTGGGGGG